GCACAGTTAGAAAGGAAATACAGCAAGCCAAGCAACTCAGGAACCTTCACCCTCCCCACCAGCCCTGCACCATCTTCCCCCTTCCCTCACTGCCCTTCACCAACACCTCTCCTCGAGAGGGATGCCCAAGTCTGCCCACCTGAGAGGCCGGACAATGCCAAGGAGATATTCGACCAAGGACAGCATCACGGCCAAGCCCAGCAGAAAGCGAGAGGACAGATCTGAACAGGTCACCTGCACGCGCCTCCAGTGACCGCGGGCTCTGTCAGCACACACTTCTCAACTGGGTGATGCTCAGATGGTGAGAGGCTGGTTTGTACAGTCATACAGCAAGGAAACAGGCCCTGCAGCCCAACTCATCCACACCCAGCAGGTTTCCCAAACCAAACTGAACATCACGCTGACGTTGTACAGGGTGTTGGTGAGGCCTCTTTGAACTACTGCGTGCAGTTCTGGCCTCCCTGTTATAGCAGGGATGTTATTAAACTGGAGACGGCTCAGAAGAGATTTACCAGGACGTTGCCGGGAATGGGGGGGGTTTGAGTTATAAGGAGAGGTTAGGACTTTTTCCACTGGAGATTGAGGGGTGGCCTTGTAGATGTTTATAAAATCATGAGGAGTATCGATGGGGTGAATGGCAGGTGTCTTTTCCCTAGGGTGGGGGATTTCAGGACTGGGGGCATATTTTTAAGGAGAAAGATTTAAAAAAGACATGAGGGTCAATTTTGTTTGTGTGTGGAATGACCTTCCTGAGGAAGTGGTGGATGTGGGTACAATTACAATGTTTAAAAGACATTTGGATAAGTACAGGAATAGGAAAGGTTTGGAGGGATAAGGGCCAGGAGCAGGCAGGTGTGGGACTAGTTTTGTTTACGATAATGGTCAGCATGGACTGGTTGGACTGAAGGGTCTGTTTCCACGCTGTATGACTCTATAACTAATCCCATTTGCTAGCATTTGGCCCATATCTATCTAAACCTTTCCTATCCACGTACCTGTCCAAATGCCTTTTAAACGTTGTGGAGGCTGGTACAATTACCACTTCCTCTGGCAGCTCATTCCACGGGAATAAATGCTGCTTAGCCAGCGACGCCTTTGTCCCGTTAACGAATAAAGAAAAAAAAGAAAAAAAAAAACACACACCACCCTCTGTGTGAAAAAGTTGCCCCTTAGGTCACTTTTTAATCTTTCCCCTCTCACCTTAAACCTATGCCCCTCTAGTTTTGGACTCCCCTACCCTGGGGGAAAAGACCTTGCCTATTCATCCTATCCATGCCCCTCATGATTTTATAAACCTCTGTAAGGTCACCCCCTCAGGCTCCGACACTCCAGGGAAGAAAGCCCCAGCTTACGCAGCATCTCCTTATAACACAAACCCTCTAGTCCCAGTAACACCCTCTCCAATGTAATAACAGCAGGTAATATAGCAGGGTGGCTGGAACTGTACGCAGTATTCCGGAAGTTTCTCTAAGGGCAGGCATGCACAGCATGAAGTCAGCAGCTCAAGCATGAGCGTGCACTTTAAGGCTGTCAAGGTGAAATGAAGCCAGTTAGTGGAAGGGCGAGAGTCTAGGATAAGAAACAGACCATTTCTTCGTATGAACAATGCTGAACCTTTGGAATGCTCTACTCCAGAGGGATGTGGAGGCTCAGTCATCGGGATTATAGGAGACAGAGATCATTAGTCGTTTTGGTAGGACAGAGATCCAGCGCTGCTGAGAAAACATGTTTTATTGCGAGTTTTCATCCTGCACTCATCAGGACACTTTGCGAGAGTACAAAGTCAAGGTGAAAACCAATTGCAGGACAGGAGAGAGCTGTTTGTTGGACATCTGCCAACCCAATCTACAGCAGCACAGTGGCTCAGTGGTCAGCACTGCTGCCTCACAGCGCCAGGAACCTGGGTTCGATTCCACCCTCGGGCGGCTGTCTGTGTGGAGTTTGCACATTCTCCCCCCGTGTCTGTGTGGGTGTGCTCTGGTTTCCTCCTACAGTCCGAAGATGTGTCAGTTGGGGTGGATTAGGCAGGCTAAATTGTCCCGTGGTGTCCAGGAAATGTGCAGGCAAGTGGGTCTGGGTGGGACGCTCTTCAGAGGGTTGGTATGGACCTGATGGGCCAAATGGCCTGCTCCCACACTGTAGGGATTCTATGATTCCTCTCGCCCGGAGGAGTGCAAGACAGAAGACTTTGACCAAATGTAACTCTTCCAGCAATACTCAGACTTTTAGATACTGAGGGACTGGAGGAAAGTGTGGGACAAAGATCAGACCGAATCCAGACAAATGGCAGAACATGCTGCAGGGCTGAATGGCCTCCTCCTGTCCATAAGCTCCTTTCGTCTCACACACACACACACAAAGACACACTCACACACAGAGACACAGACACACTCACTCACTCACACACACAGAGACAGAGACACACACACAGACAGAGACAGACACAGACACAGAAACACAGAGACAGACACACACACAGACACAGAGACACACAGAGAGAGACAGACACAGACACACACAGAGACACACAGAGAGAGACAGACACAGACACACACAGAGACAGAGACACACACACACGGACACAGACACAGACAGACACACACACTCGTACACAGACACAGACAGACACACACACTCGTACACAGACATACACACACACAAAGCAGTGGGGCCGGTTACACAGACAGTACAGAAAACCCCCCACTTTCCCAATAGATCCCGACCAATGATGGGAATGTCTCAAACAGGTGCATCACTTCAGAGTGGGACCCTGCCCGACAGAAACCCCCACCATGACAGAACTC